CCCCCTAGGCGTGCGTACGTACTTTGTGAATGACGCCTTACTAGTATTAGGAGTGAAAATGTGGTCCATTTGAGCACAAATTTGACATTAATTTTCTGTGCAAAAGCCTGATAAGAGGGTCGCATTAATTGTGGCACTTCTGGCATAATGTCGGCTATACTTTGGAGGAAAAGTGGTTTAGCTTTGACTTTTAATATTCATTAAACGACTTGTTATTCATTTTTATGTTTTAAACAAGTTTTATAACTCACTTTAGGAGAAATTTCCACTATTTGTTCATGTGTTTTATAGCCATTCATTAAACGCTAATATTATTTGTTCAGTTGTATTAAATTCAAATTTAATTGTTTATGTGTTATTTTTAATCCATTATTTCAGACAACATTTTCATATTTTCCAATATTTTGATGAAATATCGGCGAAAATCTGTTTATTAAATAAAACCGAAGATAATTTGTTTTTACCTTATTTTTTATTAAACAAATATCATTTTAAAAGCTGATGTTTAATAAATAATATTTATAATACAGAAAGTTATAATCTACAAACAGTTTTATGTGGAATCTTTTTACATTATTAGTTCTACGGTAAAATTTAATATTATTAACCTATTTTTAATATTTAATTTTATTTTTGCATATTTATAAATTTAAATTGAATAAATTGTTTAATAATTTGTTGTTTATTAGTGACAAAAATAATTTAAAAATTTGCTAATTAAGAAACTCTACGTTACATGAGGTTAAACCGAGATTATAAAATCTATAGAAACACATGTATTGTACCGAACTTTAGATAATTTAATTTTTATAGACAAGCACAAATATGATGGAAATAGAAACTATTAAATTAGATTAACCGATAAATAATACTAACACTTAATTTCTTTTATTCACCATTGTCTTTTTTATACTAAACTTATATACTGTATAAAAAAGTGTTTTAATGTTTGTGGCCTTGTTAATAAACAATATTTGTTTGTCCGGCACTCAAGTGATGTGAGTTTTGCTGGGTGTTGATATGATTGTCAACGAGTGTATGATATGAGGATTTGTTTCATAGATTTCCACGAATAAGAGGACTAAATGATTGATATATCATATTGTCATAGAGTATGGTCCCCCACAGACAATCAGGTACTATTAATACATACACAATTTATTATTGAAACAGCGGTCACAACTAAATTTCACCTCATTTTAGAAATGTTTGTAATTCTTGTGAACAACTTATATCTGAGTTTTCAGATTCAGTTTAAGTGGATATAAAATCAAGAGATATGATATTAGTATTAAAATTATACAAAATCGCATTAAATTGACTCTTATATAAGATACAGAGAAACTTTATTTTAATAATTTGTAATATTTTAATCATGAATTCAATTACAAATTATTTCATTTTCGTTGCATTTATACTAAACGTATGTTTAGTATTAGCCGCAAATGAAGACGAGATAAAGAGTCTTCCGGGTCTCTCAGAACCCATTAATTTTAAGCAATATTCCGGTTATTTGGATATAACTGAAGGCAAACATTACTTCTATTGGTTCGTCGAGAGTCAAAAGGATCCCGAGAACGCACCGGTAGTCCTATGGCTGAATGGAGGGCCCGGTTGNTCTCAGAACCCATTAATTTTAAGCAATATTCCGGTTATTTGGATATAACTGAAGGCAAACATTACTTCTATTGGTTCGTCGAGAGTCAAAAGGATCCCGAGAACGCACCGGTAGTCCTATGGCTGAATGGAGGGCCCGGTTGTAGTTCATTGTTTGGAAACCTTGGAGAAAACGGACCCTTTCGGGTGAATTCCGACGGGAAGACCCTGGTGTTGAACCCTCACAGTTGGAATAAAGTAGCGAATGTCATATATCTTGAATCCCCGGTCGGAACCGGTTATAGTTATAAAGACGATAAGAAGTACCACAACACAGATGTGTCGACAGCAGAGGACAACCATTTAGTTATGGAAGCATTTTTCGAGAAATACCCAAATCTGAAGAAAAACCCATTTTATATAACGGGTGAAAGTTATGCCGGAATTTATATCCCAATGTTAGCCCAACAGATATTCGCCAAGAATTCCACTATTAATTTGAAAGGTATTATATAAACGTTAACAATAATAGTTTGTTTATAAAATTAATTTATGAATAATGAATTTTGTATTAAAGGTGTTGCCATTGGAAATGGATACCTGGATTTGGGTACATTAGGCGGTCAGCACAGCATTGACATGGAATTGGGTCACGGATTCGTTACAACAGATTCTTATGAGAAGAAGATTGAGAATTGCTGTGAATGTAAGACCGGAGAAGTGCAACACGGATGCGATTTCTCTAAACCCGTCAATGCTACGTAAGTTCATATATTTAAAAGTAATGTATAATATTATGTAAAAGTTATAAGTTAATTATCTTATATATTGTAACATAGGTATCTTACAGTAATCAAATAATTTTGGCTATTAACAAAATTGTTTAATTAATGTAAATGATTATTTTGATTTATAATAATTTACTAGTTCTTAGAATTAATTAGTATTTTATGTACAGTAAATGTAGCAAGGTAGAAATAGAGGAGTCCGGCGGTAACAATCCATACAACATGTACGACGATTGTGGTGCGACCGTTGCATACGCTAAGCTGTATAACAAATATTACGCCAAAGCGTCCAACAGATCACCAATGAGTCTGACCTCTAATGACAACTACTCGGTAACAATCCATACAACATGTACGACGATTGTGGTGCGACCGTTGCATACGCTAAGCTGTATAACAAATATTACGCCAAAGCGTCCAACAGATCACCAATGAGTCTGACCTCTAATGACAACTACGACTGTCCGGAAAACGGATACACCGATTGGTTGAATTTACCGGAAGTACGGACAGCACTACACGTGCGAAGTGATGACAAACACGTGTGGGATGACTGCGGCGGTCCTTATTCTGACTTCGGTCGCGACCAACACTCGACTGTCACTGAATTGTTAGATAAGTATAAAATCGGAAAACTAGTCATATTTAATGGAAACTTCGACACTGTCTGCGATCACATCGCTAATCACCGGTTCGTCGACAGTCTGAACCTTAAGAAAGAGGGGTATTTCACGTAAGGAAATCACAATTTATAATATAAGTTCAAGATAATATTAATAAATATTTAAATATTACAGTTCGTGGAAAGATACGGAGGGAAGGATCGGTGGGTTTGTGCAGCACTACGAGAAAAATCTGAGTTTCGTTTTAGTCCGCGGGGCCGGACATATGGTCCCTCACGACAAACCAGAGGCTGCCCTACAGTTACTCAAGAATGTGATCGGAATCACACAGTTTTAAGTGTAAATAATAATATAGTTTTTTTTAAAATGAATATAATAATATTTGCTTAAAACTACTGTATGTAAACATTGTAATTTAATATTCAATAAAAAAGTAAATTTTATTATCTTTCAAATTATTATCGATTTAATTAAAAAACAGTTTTGTAAAGTTTGTGGCCTTCAGTTGTTTAAAAACATAAGAAGTGTTTGGCCGACACTTAAGTGATGTGATTTGAGTCCAATTTTGATATGATTGTCAACGAGTGTATGATATGAGGATTTGTTGCTTAGATTTCCACGAATAAGAAGACTAAATGATCGATATATTGTCATATAGTCCCCCACAGACAATCAGGTATCATAATATACACAACTTATCATCGCTCAAAATTAGGTTTCACCTTATTTTAGAAATGTTTGTAATTCATGTGAACAACTTATATCTGAGTTTTCAGATTCAGTTTAAGTGGATTTGGAATCAAAAGATATTAGGATTAAAAATACACAAAATGGCATTGAATTGACTCTTATATATAAGACAAGAATAATCATTATTTTAATAATTTGTAATATTTTAATCATGAATTCAATTACAAATTATTTCATTTTCGTGGCATTTATACTAAACGTATGCTTAGTATTAGCCGCCAATGAAGATGAGATAAAGAGTCTTCCGGGTCTTTCAGAACCGATAAATTTTAAGCAATATTCGGGTTATTTGGATATAACTGAAGGCAAACATTACTTCTATTGGTTCGTTGAGAGCCAAAAGGATCCCGAGAACGCACCGGTAGTCCTATGGCTGAATGGAGGGCCCGGTTGTAGTTCACTGTTTGGAAACCTGGGAGAGAACGGACCCTTTCGAGTGAATTCCGATGGGAAGACCCTGGTGTTAAATCCGAGCAGTTGGAATAAAGTAGCGAATGTCATATATCTTGAATCCCCGGTCGGAACCGGTTATAGTTATAAAGACGATAAGAAGTACCACAACACAGATGTGTCGACAGCAGAGGACAATCATTTAGTTATGGAAGCATTTTTCGAGAAATACCCAAATCTGAAGAAAAACCCATTTTATATAACGGGTGAAAGTTATGCCGGAATTTATATCCCAATGTTAGCCCAACAGATATTCGCCAAGAATTCCACAATTAATTTGAAAGGTAATCATATGATATATCATTAATGGTTAAAATATTAAAATAACCAATTATTAATATATATTAAAGGTGTTGCCATTGGAAATGGATACCTGGATTTGGGTACATTAGGCGGTCAGCACAGCATTGATATGAAATTGGGTCACGGATTCGTTACAACAGATTCTTATGAGAAAAAGATTGAGAATTGCTGTGAATGTAAGACCGGAGAAGTGCAACACGGATGCGATTTCTCTAAACCAGTCAATGCTACGTAAGTTTATATTTATACTTGATTATAACTTATAAGTTATAACATATTTGTAAGATTGAGAATTGCTGTGAATGTAAGACCGGAGAAGTGCAACACGGATGCGATTTCTCTAAACCAGTCAATGCTACGTAAGTTTATATTTATACTTGATTATAACTTATAAGTTATAACATATTTGTTTTATAAAATTATTGAAAATCTATTCGCTATAATTCTATTTTATAAACAAATATGCTATATTTTATTTAAATAGAGTATAAGGGAATTAAGTCTCGCAAGTCTTGTAAACTTATAAATCTTATTAGTAAGAGAAACGTAAATTTTACCGGTATATATGATTTGAATAATTCCTTTACAGCCAATGTAGCAAGGTACAAATAGAGAGTTCAAGCGGTCGGAATGCATACAACATGTACGACGATTGTGGTGCGACCGTTGCATACGCTAAGCTGTATAACAAATATTATGCCAAAGCGTCCAACAGTCTACCAATGAGTCTGACCTCTAATGACAACTACGACTGTCCGCACAACGGATACACCGATTGGTTGAATTTACCGGAAGTACGGACAGCACTACACGTGCGAAGTGATGACAAACACGTGTGGGAAGACTGCGGCGGTCCGTATGAGGACTTCGGTCGCGACCAACACTCGACTGTCACTGAATTGTTAGATAAGTATAAAATCGGAAAACTAGTCATATTTAATGGAAACTTCGACACTGTCTGCGATCACGTCGCTAACCATCGGTTCGTCGACAGTCTGAACCTTAAAAAAGAGGGCCGTTTTACGTAAGAATTCAAAGTTTAATAATAATACAGTTTAATATTATATTATACGATGATTTTAATAAATATTGCAATACTTTCAGTTCGTGGACGGATGGGGACGGTAGGATCGGTGGGTTCGTACAGCACTACGAGAAAAACCTGAGTTTCGTGTTAGTCCGCGGGGCCGGACATATGGTCCCTCACGACAAACCAGAGGCTGCCCTACAGTTACTCAAGAATGTGGTCGGAATCACACAGTTTTAAGTGTAAAACAATTAATTCATATTTAAAATGACGAGATTCTTGTTCTGTATGAAATCTGAATAAATAAAAAAAAGTTATAAAAAGTAAAATGTTAAACATTTGATATGGTACTGTATCATTATCATTTGTATTAATTAGTACAGTACAAGTATATAAATAAAGTACTGCACTTAAATTGTTTTTGATAATCATTATACGGTACAGAAATAGAAAATAACATTGAGTCTAGTGATCAAACATTAAATGATAGGCACAACATAAACATTATTTTAACGACTGATAATAATTGATAAAGCTTGCATTTTCTTAGAAATTGTACACTTATAAATTTTAAATTGAATGAAACCATTTAAAACTAGAATTTTTCAATTTTGTGATATCGTACACTGAGTACAGTTATAATTATTATATTTTATTATTTTAAATAATTAATTATGACTTGTAATAACTTTTTCTTTGTATTTATTACTGTGTTATTTACATTATTTCTTATAATTACTGCAAACGATGATGAGATCAAAGACCTCCCTGGGCTTTCACAACCCATTAATTTCAAGCAATATTCGGGTTATTTGGATATAACTGAAGGCAAACATTACTTTTATTGGTTCGTTGAGAGTCAAAAAGATCCCGAGAACGCACCGGTAGTCTTATGGCTAAATGGAGGGCCCGGTTGTAGTTCATTGTTTGGAAACCTGGGAGAGAACGGACCCTTTCGAGTGAATTCCGATGGGAAGACCCTGGTGTTGAACCCTCACAGTTGGAATACTGTGGCGAATGTCATATATCTTGAATCCCCGGCCGGAACTGGATTTAGTTATAAAGACGACGGCGTCTATAATAATACTGATAAGTCTACGGCAGAGGACAACCATTTAGTATTAGAAGAGTTTTTCAAGAAATATCCCAATTATAAGAAAAACCCATTTTATATAACGGGTGAAAGTTATGCCGGCGTTTATATCCCAATGTTAGCCCAACAGATATTCAACACTAAATCTGCGATTAAACTAAAAGGTAATTAAACTCAAAGAACATAATTTTTAAAATTAAAAGTGTGTTTATAAAAGGTGTTGCCATTGGAAATGGATTATTAACTGGAACTATATTTGATCAGTCAAACTATGACTTTGCTTTAGCCCATGGATTACTAACCACTGATTCATATGAAAAATTGATTGAAAATTGTTGTGAATGTAAAACGGGTCGAGTGTTACATGAATGCGATTTTACTAATCCTTTCAATGCTTCGTAAGTTTATAAAAATATTTTATAGATTTTGATATGAATTCAATTGTCTGACAGTAAGTGTCAATCGGTTGGTGTTGAGACAGTTTCGACGCCCAATAGCTATAATATATACGACGACTGCGATGCCAGCGCTCCTTATCAGAGGATTTTCGACAAATATTACGCCAAAACTCACCGAAAATATGGGTTTAATGTAAAGTCAAATCGTAATGCACACTACAGGTGCCCACACAACGGTTATATAGATTATCTGAATCTACGGGAAGTTCGCGAAGCAATACATGTGAGGAGGGATGCGGGACATTGGGATGACTGCGGCGGTCCTTACAGTGATTGGGGGACTAAACAACACGACAACACCATTGAATTGATCAATGAATATAAACTGCAGAGATTTGTTGTCTATAACGGAGACTTCGATACGGTTTGTAATTTTGTTGGCGACCAACGATTCGTTGATGGACTGGGATTCAAAAAATCTGGTCATTACAGGTAAACATAATATAAGAATAAATATCTAATAAATGTGAGTAAATCTATTGCAGTCAATGGACTATTGGTGGAAAGCCTGACGGAATTATTGGTGGATTTGTGCAAAAATACGAGAAGGGCGTCAGTTTCGTGTTAGTCCGCGGGGCCGGGCATATGGTCCCTCACGACAAACCAGAGGCTGCCCTACAGTTACTCAAGAATGTGATCGGAATCACACAGTTTTAAGTGTTAGGGGAATATATTTGAGTTTGACAATTATATATTAATAAAATAATATAAAGATTTAGTAGATTTTTAAAATATTTTATAATTAAACATATATCCAAAGAGAACTTGTGATTAGTTTAAGTATGTTGATACAAATAAAATGGATATGCTCTTTATACTTTTTGTACTACATTTATTTACCATAAATTATAAACAATAATTTAGATTAAAAAACATATAAAAATTTCTGAGACAATATTGTATTAATATTTTCCCATACGTTTAAAATGATTATTAATCCATTTTAAGTGGATTTCAATGTAATTTTGAAACATGCATTTAGACTGTTATCTAATAAGTGGATTGAAGTGGTAATATAATACTGATTTGTGACAATTGGCATTGAATTTTCATATACTGTATATATATATATATATATATATATATATATATATATATAT